TGATTCCTAGTAAATCCTAATAGGTTAGGGAAAGTGGTCCATTAGCTGCTGTGTCTTCCATCTGCCAAATCCTTTCCCACAATCCTTGGTAAATTCCCCAAATCTGCCTTTTTTTTTCTTTTTTTCTTTTTTTTTTTGGTGTGTGTGTGTGAGAGAGAGAGAGAGACAGAGAGAGAGAGACAGAGAAAGAGAGACAGAGCCTTGCTCTATCACACAGGCAGAGTGCAGTGGCACAGTCATGGTTCACTGCAGCCTCGATCTCTCGAGCTCAAGCATGTTCATCCTACCTCTGCCTCCCAAGTAGCTAGGACTACAGGCACACGCCACCACACCCAGCTAATTTTTGCATTTTTATTTGTTTGTTTGATTTTGGTTTTCATTTGGTTTGGTTTGGTTTTTTGAGACGGAGTATCACTCTGTCGCCCAGGCTGGAGTTCAGTGGCACGATCTCAGCTCACTGCAACTTCCATCTCTCGGGTTCAAGTGATTCCTCCTGCCTCAGCCTCCTGAGCAGCTGGGACTACATATACGTGCCAACACGCCAAGCTAATTTTTATGTTTTTAGTAGAGACGGAGTTTCACCATATTGGCCAGGCTGGTCTTGAACTTCTGACCTCATGATCCACCCGCCTTGGCCTCCCAAAGTGCTGGGATTACAGGTGTGAGCCAACGTGTCTGGCCAATTTTTGCATTTTTAGTAAAGACAGGGTTTCACCATGTTGCCCAGGCTGGTCTCAAACTCCTGGGCTCAAGCGATCTGTCTGCCTTGGCCTCCCAAAGTCCAGGGATTACAGGCGTAAGCTACCACACCCAGCCTCTGGCTTTTTTCTAGCCACAATCAACTTTTATTCAATTAACTAAGTCTCCAAAAGTTCTCATGCTCCCACGAGGAAGTGAGTAGAGGTATAAATGAAACAAGATTGGCTATGTTAATAATTTTTGAATCTGAGGGATGAGTATGTGAGGGTTTATTACACTCTTCATTAGCTGTAGATATACTTTTATGTATATTTGAAATTTTCCTTAATAAATATTTTACAATAAAAAGTCTATCAATCATCTCAGTCAAGTGCAGTGTTTTAAATAATAAATTCTGAAAAAAAATCTTCAAAAAAATACTATAGCATCATAGCTATTTTAAATTCTGTCCCTAGGCAATGTAACAGAGCCCTTTTTTTGCCCCTTACTGCAGGTAATTCAGATGATGCACTCTTTCCTCACCTCCTCTCTGCTCTTCTCTTGCACTTATAAAACATAATCAGTCGTTTAGACTGGAGTGTGGTGGATTCTTGGTTCTATGATTCTCAATAGTGTATACATCTCCTCTTCTGGCTAGGAAAGGCAACCCCTAAAGGAATGGCTTTGCCAACTTACAAATTAGTTGGGAAGATCATTTGTGGGCAAATCCTTTGCACCTCCAATGTAGTAGATGCTGTTGGTGCCCTCCTCCGATCCCCTTCACCAGCTAGGACAACAGCCTCTCGCTGCAGAGAAGGTTGGCCAGGGCCGTGCTGATAAACGTTTAACATCTGGCTGCCTGCAGGAGTGTAAGGCCTGGGATTTGTAGCTTTTGTTGATTTTCATGATGTAATGCTTCCATCATGGCCGATTGCAAGCTGTCAGGGTGAAGTCACAGAACGGGCATTTGGGAAGTGCTGTGCAGTCAGCACTTGTGAGCTGTGGTTGAGCTGACTCCAGCACACCATGGCTACGTACAGCTTGTAACTGTTCCTTTCTCTGGGGAATTGCCTCCTGACTGAAGACTGTCGCCTTTCAGGCTTCACCCATGGATATCCGTAAATGATGACCAACTGATATGGGTGTACAAAATTCCAGCCCCCGTGCCTCGAGGTGGGTCAATTCTGTGGTATGAATTATTCATCAGAACCCACCCACACGCACACAATGAATCAGATCACATTCCTTGAGAGGACATCATTGTACAGCTCTTTGCCCTTTCCTCTCCTGCTTCTCTCACTTATTAGCAGGTTTTTCCCCCTAAAGAATATGCCATGCCCTTAGGGAATTGCATGCAGCTGAATGCTTGCCTCAGGCACTGCTTCAAGGGAACCCAGCCTGAGAACATTCAAAACGTACCCCAAGGGGCAAGCTTTCCTAAAACTTCCCTCCAATACACTCCAAATAATACAAAGAGATAATTCTAATCTTAGGAGATACAAAAGTACAACCCAAAGCATCCAACTACAGACCCCACATTTTTAAAGTCTTTTTTCACAGTAAAAATGCATGCAAAATTTTAACCTATGTTCCATAATATCTCTGTTTAACCCTAGAAATGTCATATTTTTTCTCCAGAATTCTTGTGTAGAGTCCATGTTCCAAGATGCTAGATTGTATACATCCCATGGCTGTTCCAACTATGAAGGTAAACGTGCCCAAGTCAGGAAAGCCTGAATAAACTTGAAAGCCACTCAAAGCCTGGCTGCTCAACTTTCAACTCGCAATGAGCAGTGTGCATTGCCAATCCTCAGAGACTGTCTCTTCAGCACTAGAAGGTCAGAGCAGACCTACTCCAAACACAGTATTACTGTATCCCAGTTTCTCCTTTAGTTTCATCAGGAAGGAAGGAAGGGAGGGAGAGTAAAAAAAGAAAGGAATTCCACCACCAAGAGTTAGACTTCAAAATGATCTTCATGTATTCTTTCGTGTCTTCCTTTTACAGATGGGAAAACTAAGATCTGAAGCACAAAGTAATTTACTGAAGGTCACAAAAGCAGTTAATGCTGGAACCAAAATCCCCACATCTCTGGATTTTCAGGCAGGTTTCTCTCCTTGCCCATGTTGCCTGCCCAGCTTCTGAGGACAACCTTGATTGTCCTGTGAACTGGGGTCACTCAGTCAAATGCCTCTGCTGATACCCCAAGGTTGAATGGCAGTTTATTTAGCATGGCAGCTTTCAGACTCCAAGTGTTTCTGAGTGTGTGTTAGAAACCACTACTTCATCCAAAACTGACCAAAGTGGAGAATTGTTTTGTACTTCCCAGCTGTATTTCCTTGACAATAGATGGTCTGAGAATGCCCTCTGGTGCCTTCCTACTGTGTCTTCAAGCACTTCAGAGGCAGGAGGTGGCTGTGGGAAAGGATGAAGAAAAGCTAGGCTCCTGGAAATGGTTTTTTCTCTCAAAAAATGTGGCGTGGGTGTGCTGTCAGCACACTGTGGCAGGATTCGACCAGGAAGTTGGATAAAAACATACTGTGCGGTTACGCCTCCTCTGTTGCATTTGCCTTTTTTTCTCTAACGATGAATATAATTCTTTTTAATTGCACCATTATTTAAATACTTATTCAACTCATATTAATACAAGGCATAGAAACAATAACAAATTGGTAGGCATAAAAATCTCTGACACGATTTTAATTTAGGCGTATCCTTTTCTGGTTTTCTGCATAGTATGATTACCATTTCTCAAGAACATGAGCAAAAGCACACTCCCTGGGTCCCCAGAATGGAGTGCACCTTCTCAAGTACACTGCCACGTTAGTTTTAATTACATGTATTTGAGAAAAAGAAGATTGACACTTCTTCCCCAAGATGCACCCCTCAAGAAGTTGAAAGGAGCACTGACTAGAACAAAGGGAAAAAAAGCAATTAAAGGCTCTCTAGGGCTATGACTTAGATACATTTGTCCCTTTTAATCCTTACATTGATCAGAAATATGAAATATAAGATTTGGGAAGGAGAGTGTCTATTTTAGCCCTCCCTCACATCAGGACTGGTCATGGCAATACCTGTCATTTATTGACTATTAACTCAATGCCAGGTAATATAAGTATTTCTCGTGAATTATTTCATTTAAATCCTCACAACCACCTCAAGAGAAAGGTGCTATTGTTTTCTGCATTGTATAGATGAGAAACTTGAGTCATGGAGATATTAAATGCATTGCCCAAGGTCACTCAGCCACTAGCAAGGCCAGAGCTCAAGCATCAATCTGCTCGGCTCCCAAGCCCATGCTTTTAGCCCTCCGGATATATGGCGTCCACAACTTTCCTAAACAGCCTTCCTGTTCCCTCTCCTTAAATTCATCCAACAACGAGCAAATCATTCTATTATCTAACAGCTCTCATTGCTTAAATCACTCCTGTTACCCCATATTTGGTACCGGAGTGATGCAGCAGTTTGCTCCCTGTTCTACTTGACCTTCCTTTAAATATTTGAAACCAGATATCAGGTCACTAGTCCACTTTCCCAGCTTGCTCTTCTCTAACTACAATGTCCCAAGGTCCTCCAACTGTTCCTTGATTAAGTCGCTTTCCAGGCCTTTCACTACCCAGGTTCACTCCAGCTGTGTAGCAGCTCTCCCCACAAAATGGAAATGCGATAGCTAGCAGTGAACAACACCCTAAATGTAGTCTGACTATAGCAGGGCAGAGTGGGACTACTGCCTCCTTATTACCGAAATCATTTCTAATTAAAAGGCATCTTTAATTCTTACAGCAGTTGTATCACATTGGTCATTCGTGTGGTGACCCCAGCCACCAAAAAACCCTTGGCCTTTCTCCCACGGAAAGTAAGATCTTCCCCTAGCAAAAATGCACACTAAAGTTCTGAACTACAATGAAGGATTTATTTAATTTAAATTTCATATTCTTATTTGTTCTGAGTTCTTAATTTTTCCTCACTATTGAGATCATCCAAACCTCAGGTCAAGATGGCCAAAAAGGTGAGTCCACAGACAGCCCTGAAGCCTCCCTCCCAAGTGGCACCCACTGGAATTCAGTGCCCTTCACATATCCCTGTCCAACTGGCCACAAAGTCTCCTAGCTTCACTGTCACCCTGCTCATATACCTTCATCTTTCCCACAAGGACGTCATAAGAGGCTCTATCAAACGTCTTCCTGAAATCCAGACACATTTTGTCTGTGGAATTTCCCCTCCCCACCAGTCTCCCCACTCTATCAAAAAAGGAAGCAAAGTTCATTGGGCATATCTTGTTTTTAAGCAAACCCACATTTAGCGAATCCATATTTATACATACCACCAGGCTCAACAGGATGTTTATTTCAGAAAATGAACGTTCTTCCAAGAAACCTAATTTTAAATAGAATAGAGAAATAACATTTTAGCTACATTTTTTCACTTGTAAAAGCACTTGAAAAAACATATATTTTCAGGTCCATCAATACCACCATGGGGCTCAGCATTTATCATAGTATTTAAGAGATAGACGCCACTTAAATACTATATTTCCGAAATATAATTAAACTTTGACCACAACTGCATTAATCAGGATTGGAACTTTACCTGCATCATACTTTAACCAGAGAAGTAAATCTCACCAAGGCAATTTGATATCTGGATTGAGTTCTGTATTCAGAATACATTAAATTCCACCTTCTAAAACTTTCTGGACAATGACCAGAATGTCTGCCATTCCGGACAATGAAAATTGAGCTGCCATTGAAAGACTTCGATATCACAGAAAAAGATCCCATTGCATAAGCATACCATACACACTAAAACCAAAAAGTAAAAAAATAAAAAAAAATAGATGAGGACATTTTTTAAAGATATTATTTATTGAAAGTAGTGTAGCATTTATTGAGAATATGTCAGGATGTTCTGAGAGTTTAACAAACGTGAACTCAATCCCTGAAACAACCCTTAATGATAGTCACTTTTATTTTCTTCATTTTTAACAGAAGGGAAGATGAAGGCACAATCAGGTTAAATGACTTGCTCAAAGACACACAGCCAGGAAGTGGCATGGAGCCTCAACAGAGAAAATTAAAAGTGTTATGCTTAAAACTTGAACAAAAAAATTCATAGAGACTTTCCATTCTGCCGTTGGACATTCTCAAAAAATGTCTTAAATACTTTTACTTTTCTCCTCACTTCAGTTGGCAGTGCTATATGTTTCCTCATGAAAGAATAAGTTTAAAAGGTAAGAGAATAAGATAAATACATTCTGCAGTGTCAAAGGTCACACATGGCTGGCTTGAGTTTACCATTCTTGGGTCCTCGAGTTCAATTCACTGACTTCAATTCCTGATCCTTGTGGTAGCTCCAATGTCTACTATTCTGCTGGGCTGGCCCTTCGTAGGTACTAAATAAATCTTTATTGAATTCAATGAAGTGAATTTGTTACTGAGGCATTTCAGGCTGCACCATATAAAGATATTAATAATATCCCTAACATTTACCTCAAAATACTTTCCAAGTCTTGTTAGCTTACCCACTCATTTACAAAAGACTTAGACTCACATTTCTAGGCATAGGATTTAGGATACTTCGCTCCATGAATTACATTATACTTTTCAGAATTGTGACAGTTAACAGTCACAAACCCCAATAGAATATTCTAACGTGGCCATATTTTACACAAATTCGGAATAGTGTAATATGAAAAATTCATATAGTCTCTTCACACTCAAAATGTGAAGTAATATAAGTGCCTCAAATTTAAATTCTTTCTGAGGATCAAAGAATTTTAAGGCTAGCAGGCCAAATGAACTGTAAAACTGAATTCAGGATATGGTCTGAATTATGCAAGTTTGGAATTACACAGTCTTGAAGGCCACATCCTTTTCATAAATGCCACCAACCCCAACACATCACCAAGGGACAACACCAAGGAAGCACTGCTGTATAACAACTTGGTGGCTGAAGTCTTGGAGGCCAAACAGGCTCAGAAGCTCCAAGCCAAAGCAGCTGTCCTCAGCCTCTCAAAAATCGATGCAATTACAGAGAAAAATGCTGAGACACACAACAGGAAGATGAAAATTAAACTCAAGAGACCCATGACCAAATTGCACCCATGCGTCTCAATGTTGGTGGTGCTAGCCCTGAAACAGCGGGCTCCCGGGACTCAGAGAACAAATTATCCATCTCCCCTCTCAAACTCTCTAGCCCTTATAGAACCATAGGCTCTCAGACCTCACCTGGATGAGAAACCACAGCTCTCTCAAAGCCTCATCATTTCAGCGTAAGAGATGCTGACAGATAAACAAATTACCAAATGACAAAGTGAGTTTAGCCTTTGTGCACTGGAAGCAATGGCTGGAAATGTTCATGACCAATTCCACAAAGACAGGCAAACATTCACACTCAGAGAGAGAAAGAGAGACAGAGAGAGAGAGAGAGAGAGAGAAAAGGGATAGAGAGAGAGTGAGACAGAGAGAGAATGAGTAACAGTCTACGGTTTCCCTTCCTCCACTGTATGTCCAGTGAAATTGTCCCTGGTATTTAAGAAAGCAAGGACAGAATGAAAACCTAGGGAAAAAAAGGAATTGAGGTTAAGACCAGAGTGACAATGAAAGTAATGAAGGTGGAAGTCTTTTACAAGCACTTGTGAATCTGAAGCAAGAAGTGGCTTCTTTTCTTGGGTTTTATCCTTCCAGTGGCCTTCCTAATAGGGAAAAGCTAAAGTCAGTCACTTTCGGTGCCTGTATCAACCTTGTAAGACACACTAAATTCTCTCTGTAATGCATAACTGTCAGCCTCTCTCACTCATCTGGAGTGATTTTTCCAATTAAGCATGACAGACATTTCACTCAAGCCCCCTATTCTAACTCAGAGGCCAGGTCCTGAAGAATGAGACTTCAGTGGCTGCTGACACTTCTTTTGTCACACAAGCCTCTCTAGACAAACAATATTGACTACAAATTTGTCAGGACTTTCTATGGCCATCAATCATGCCTACCCTTTTGCCTACTTGTGCGCTCCTGTATTTCCCCTCACTCCCATGCTCAAAACAAGACAAAATTAAACTCAAAAGTGTAACCCTCAAAGTTAGAATCAGCATAAATCCTGGAGTATCTGGAATGTGAATATTCATCTGGCACAACTAATGTACTCCTTACTCTAGAAATTAAAAGCTTTAAAATGATGTACTGCCTCAGAGAAATGTGCACCAGAGTTTCACGTCAGAATGCTTTGGTGTTTGGTGTTTGTCTTTTTGTGTTTGTGTGTGTGTGTGTGTGTTTTCATTCTTACATGAGTTCTCAGAAAGTATAGGCAGATAAAGGTCTGACTCACAGGTCTCAAACTCCAATGCCTTCAAGGCTCATAGAGCAGAGACGGGGCAGAGTTAAAAGCATTTGCTGCTGTAGACATCGTTATGTATTATCAAGAAATAGTGTGCAGACTGTCCTTTTCTTTTGGCAGAAGCCGAGGCCCTGAGTCCTGCCTGTATGAATGACATGTAAGCTGTGGGTCTGTGATTTTTTTCTGTTCTTTCTTCTTCAGTCTGGCTTCATCTCAAGAAGGAAAAAAAAAAAAAAGTACACATCTCCCCATGCGAGAGAAAGGATGACTTACATTACTGAGTGTGTGTGTGTGTGTGTGTGTGTGTTGCCCTGAAGTAATGCCAGCATCCAGAACTGCAACCTTACCTTTTTAATCCTTAAGAACCAGAGACATAGTTGCTCCTGCTCAGCAAAGTCTACAGCCATTTCCAAGAGCTCCATGACAACTTGCATGAGGACCAGGCCACCACCATGGTGAGCTCCAAGGTGGGCTGGTCCACGTCTTGTGATCAAAATGACTGATGCTACCATTTGTCATCATGTAGTTTCCATCATGATAGTTTCTTCTTTTGCTTCTTGAATGAGAAGGAATGGGGATTTTTCAATTAAAGGTTAAAGTATCTTCTTTCTTCAAGGTCTTATTAGCCAACTTGTCAATTGTCTTTCAGCTCAGAGGACAGAAATTCATGGAAATAGGATGCAGGCATCCCTTTTATTTGTCTCCTCCTGCACCTCTGCTACTTGCAGGCACATCCTCAAATGATGAAATATCAACTGCTTCCCAGCATCTTTGGGAGGTGCATATACTTTTACAATGCTGTGTTTGCAAGTTCATTATAATAAAAGCGAAATTCAAAGTTCATAATAATAAAAGCGAAATTCAAAATAAGTACATGTAAAGCAGAATTTTCAGAGCCCCTCTAGTTAACACAGTCATTAATTTGCCTTTCTTCTTTTTCTTGATTTATGAAACTACTAGTTGCAAACTGATGTCGATTCAGAGCAGGAGCCAGGGTGGACAATGGATCTCAGCATCTGACCCTTTTGGAGCAGCTGTCTGAACCACAAGGAAAAATGATCAGGCCTGAAGCCAGTGGGAGAATCATCAAAACAGACAATACAACCCATTTGTTTAATGAAGAAAGAGTTAGGCAACCTACTAGAAACCACAGGCCTGATCCACATTTTTTAAACTTATGACCATGTCTAGAAAAGTTGCTTAACTCTTCTGTGCTCCATTCTTCCAATGCTCAGAGCTCCATGAGACTCATCCAGAGCTCCCATGTGACTCAATGCCTGCCCCACCTCTCCACACCTGCACAACTATCAAAATAACCAGCAAGGAAAGCTTTCTTTAAAAAATGAAGATTCCTTGCCTTTACCCTAGGTCTCATCCAGGCCTATGAAATGGGAAATCTGCCTGATGGGGCATTTTTACCAGGAGAATCTAAATGAGCAACTGAATTTAGAAATCACTAGGCTGGAGCAGAAAGAGCAAATGCACAATCCAAGAACCACTTTTCCTACCCCTTTGTCCATGACAGACATTAATAATCAACACCAGCACTCTTTCCCACAGAACCCAGTCAAAGCTCAGGATCCTTCTCCAGATGGAGGTCCAGGCAGCCACTCCCAGTCAATGAGAGCTGGCTCACAAATTGAAACCTTTCTGCCATCCCTGAGTGAGAACCCAGTAGTCCACCAGTATTGTGTGTTCAGTTGCACCTTTCACCCAGCATCTAGAACAGCTCATCGTATAATCCTTTTAGGTTCACAAAATCTTTTCAAACACCTGATCTTCTTTAAGCCTCCCAGAAACCTTGTGAAGTTAAAAGGGTATGTGTTATTATACCCATTTTACAGATTGAGAAACTGGGGGTCACAGAAGTTCTTAGTCTTGCCCAGGGTCAGAGAGCTGATGAAGAATAAGGACAGAAAATTCACCCAGATCTCCTGTTCCTAGACCAGCATTCTTCCTTCTGTAACAAGCTGGGCATGGAGTATTGAGGGCAACATCACCACCTGAGCTTAGCAAAAAACAGACCATACAGTAAACAGTACAGAAGAGGAAAGTGGGCCAGAGAGGTTTAGTAAATTGACCAAGGTCACAAAGCCTTAAAACCAGCGAGCAAGAACCCCAAGCAGGTCTGTCTGACTCTCCATCTGTGCTCTTCCTGTTTAGATGGTGCGTCCTCCCAGATCAGCACACACTAGGAAAGGGCCTTTCCTCTCCTCTCCCTGAGTTCACTCTCACACACCCTGCGCGTCTGGCCCTCCTCCCAGCCTATTTCCCTTGTTTCCGCTGGTGTCATCCTCTCAGCCACACTCACCTCTCCACCACCCACCCCCCTTCTTGCCCCTGCAACTTCCTTCCAAATGCAGGAGGAAACCGCCCAGCTTACTCACAACGGCCCCAGCCAACAGAGTGCAGATAAGACAAGCACCTTGGCAGCGAGACGCGAATATAAAATTGCAAACAGCTTTTGAAGTTACAGATCCGTAATCTTCTAAGCCAAAGAAGAGGGGTTCGCCTCTTCTCCCCCTCATCTGAATCAACAGTCCAAAGGACTGAACTGAATCCAGCCAGCTTCGGATGTGATCTCACAAGCCCGCCTGCCACACATGCATTTCCAGCCTGTTGCCTGAGCAAAACCCCCACACGGCTTGTCACCACTTAACACAAGGGACATGTTTCTACAGGAATCAAAGTAGAGAGATGGGTTTTGCTGCCCTTTCATGTGCTCAAATACATCCTGACTGACCCGGTTATGCCCTTAGTTGAAGAAACTAAACACTTTCAAGTTTAGAAGGGAAGATGCTCAGGGTTTCTGGAAGACGGGCTGACTCACCTCTACTGCATAGTAGCCTGTAACCTTGGCCAAGTTACTTAATCTCTTTCATCTCAATTTTTCCATCTGTAAAATGGGACTCTACTACCAATGGCACTTTCCTTTAAGGTTCCTGTAATTATTAAAATAGTTGATTTACATAAAAAATGTAGGGCAATGATACACAGTCAACAATAAATATTTACCATCACTGTCATTTTAAAACAAAAACAAAAGATTTGAGAATGTGTCCACATGACCTTTGGAATTTAGATGCATCCCAACAGGTCCCTGTTGTATTTTTGGGTCACAGTAAACAGGTTTTGATAATCAAACCTAAAACTCTGATGTTTCTGTCATTATTATTTTCAATGGAATGATCTGCATAGAATTAACAAATAATTAACAAAAATTACTAAAATTCCTTTCAGAATTAAGTCAGCATGAGATAACACTGCTTGCTGAGATTATACATGCTTCCTTTAAGCTTCTGTATAGGATACATTTCTCCAAATTTTTTACAAAAAAAGCACTATTTTATCATTGGAAAAATTAAAATAATAGTACATAATAAGATGAGGCACATCATGCCTCGTAATGTATAAACACGGATATCTACAGGAAATGGCAATCAAAGCATAAATGAGTCCACTAAGATTGCGTCATGGCTTTCCCTACTGGCCCAGTCGGACATTTTTTTTGGAAAGTTTTAGAGACCTAAGTCTCCACAGCCAAATGGAAATGAGCCCCAGATATTACTCAGATATTATTGGCAGTACTTTCTGCCCAGAGAAAGGCAAAACAAAGAGTTTTTTTGCAATTGGAGGCCACCACCTGGATTTGTGTATGCATAAGCCTCAGCCACACGAGGCCTGTTTAGGGTTGATCTGCCAACTGCACAAAGACACACACAAACACACACACACACGCACACATGCACACACGCACACAGGCACAGCCCAAACGCTGAGTTTCATTTCCACTGCTTTGTTCCTATGGAGTACTAACAGATACTGGCAGACCCTATTTCACTTTTTTCTCCATGAACTCTGGCCATTTCAGCCTTTTTCTCCCAATTTAAATAGTTAGAAATGTCGCCCAGTCAGGGTACTTTTTCAATGGGTAAAATATTAATTCTTATAAGTCAAAAAATGTTAGTGTCCTACAAGCATGCAGAGCAAAGTTTAAAAACTGATGTTAAAAACCCCACTTTGAAGTACATACTCAAAGATCAGGAGCTGTGGTGAATCTAATCTGTTCTTAGGCTCTATCAGCTGGGTCATTTAGCATGGGACAAAAGTCCAAGGGACCTCATACACTGGCTGATGTTTGGTGGTAAATTCTGAGCTTCTCAGAAGCTGAGGGACATCTTGAGTCAATTCCACAGTTGGACACTTCTAATATATTTTTTAAATGTGTTAAAATACTGCTACAAAAATTACAGTATTTTTCATACATTTACATTTAGCAAATAAGTGTTTTTGTCCCAATAATAATTTTAATAACCATATGCACACCACCTTTTGGAGAAAGATTTAGAAGTTCAGCTTTGAGGCCCCTTCTTCAATCTGAGGCCCAAGACAAATGGCCCTCTAACCCAATGCCTGTAATGAACCTGAGTAAACTTGAGCAGAGGACAGTGTGAGAACAGCATTACTTCAAATGCTGATCTGAACTCAACTCCATTACCGTCCATCCTGGCTACAGTAGAGGAGGCGGAGATCAAAGGCCAAGATGAGGAACTTCAGATCAAGAGCTACCCAGCACTCATACAACCCCTGAGCTACATTTTCCAGAACTTGGACAGGCATTTGGTGTCCAAAATGAGAAAACTATCCTGAAATAGCTTTCTCTGCTCTTGGAATACCAAGTTGTCAATGGCATTGTTCTGTTCTCCAGCTTCCCCCTAACCCCACACTTAGGTTTTGTAATTTTCACCTATGGGTTCTAAGTTGGTTCTAAGACCTCCAAATTCAAAGACATCAAAGAAAGATATTGTTCTTCAAAGATGATGATGCATAATACTTGTATTTCCAAAGCCCCTTTAGGGTGATCAAAAACAGATAATGATAGCAACCTATGTAAATATATGTCGAGAGGATGTAAATATAATTCCAGGCTTCGGGCCTTATGGGCATTCATTTAATGACTACATGGTACCAGGTCTCCCGAAGCATAGAAGCAGAAAAGCAAACCAAAGGCCTCTGGGATTCTAATTCTTACTAGTAATGAAAGGGAGATGAGGAGAGTGATGCAAGAGCCTTCTGTGAGTGATGTCATGACAACCTCAACATCCCTTCCTCTGTTCAGGGAACATGAAGATGCTCACCTGGCAACTGTCAGTCTCAGGTTCCCACATTCTCCATAATCTGATCTCACAATGCCTAATACATCTTGCATGTGACAAATGTCAACTAACCTACATTAGTGCTTTGAAAATAAGTTAGAGCTTGGATTCAGAAAGCCTTTTAATTCTTTTTTAATTCTTGGTGGGTAAGTTTCCTACTTATAGTCTTCATATATGTTCTTTTTTTTTTTTTTTTTTTGAGACAGAGTCTCGCTCTGTCACCAGGCTGGAGTGCAGTGGCACGGTCTCAGCTCACTGCAACCTCCAACTCCCTGGTTCAAGAGATTCTCCTGCCTCAGCCTCTCAAGTAGCTGGGATTACAGCATACACCACCATGCTCAGCTAATTTTTGTATTTTTAGTAGAGACAGGGTTTCACCATGTTGTCCAGGAGGGTCTCGATCTCCTGACCCCATGATCTGCCTGGCTCAGCCTCCCAAAGGGCTGGGATTACAGGCATGAGCCACCATGCCTGGCCATGTTCAGTTATTTAATAGTTGGGTCTACAGCAAGTTATGTAACAGACATCCAAACATGTCTGTCATGTTGACTCCCCAGTTGTAAGAGTATGTTCCCTGTTGTTTCACTTTGTGGTTTCTAGGTTTGAAAAAAAAGTTTCCAAAAAGAGTATCAGAGTAAAGAAAATGCAGAATGATAGATACATGTAATTTAAGAAAGTACGAACATGATTCTCCAAGGAAAAAGGAGGATCTGGCATCAACTGAAGTCTATGTCCACCTAAAAGTAAAAAGCCAAATGGAGTTGTTCATTATAAATATGTGTCCTTTTGCACAATGAAGAAATGAAATTTGCTCTCCCCACTCTCTCCACTGAGAGAACTGAATACAAATACTATTTTGGGTCAGAAATAAAACAAACCCCACAGCACATTACAGGAAGCCATCCTCAGCAGAAGAGATGGTCTCCCGAGAATACTGGACCCAGGAAGGTGATGATCTTTCGCCCCACCCCTCTGCTCAAAAGACAGTTTATTCTTTCCCCCTTGGTAGATATGCACTTCTAAATCTCAGCCACTCACCTAATTTTCTGTCTTGTAAGCAAGTCTTCAAAAGAAGGCTAGGTTACTGAGAGATGGGCACAATCCTTGAAAATTGCAGAAGTAAAGAACATAGGCACTTTATAACATTCTCTTCAGTAGGGAATATTCTGTGTCCCAGCAGTACCAACCTCAGGAGCTCCAAGATATCCACTGTGAAAACACGGGCAACCCTACTGGCCGCTGGTCTTCCTCTGAACAGATGAAAAGTCACTCCTGTGGAATGGGTTATACCAGTAGGCTCTGGCCACATTGCCTTCCATACACTCTACCCTTCCACCCTGTGGCAAGCACCTTTTAAAAGAGCTAAAAGCAATTGAAAAATGTACCAAAGGCATCAAGGTGAATTATCAGACTACTGTTCCCTGATAAAAAACAGTAACAACAGATGATGGCTTTCAAACAAGCTGAGAAAATGAACTTTATTTTTCTAGAAGTTTTTTTTAATTTTTTTCCTAGTCCCAATGCACTTTGTACTTCTCTATTTATCATGCACTTTGTAACTGCCTCAACATATCTTGCCCTTCTATCAACTGATGAACTTCTTGAGAACCCTGCCCTATTCTTCCTATTCATCCTCATATTCACAGAGCCTTCAGTGTAAGAGGAAATTAATAGACTCTCAATAAATGTTTGATGGACGGATAAATGTAGGAACACTTAACGTACACCAGAGTGCAACAGGAAATAATATCCAAAATTCTTGAGATAACAATGAAAGACCATCAAAGTAAACCTTTCCCATAGCTAATCATCCAAACATTAAAAGAGGACTTCATTGTTCTCCAGATGTCATCAGTGATTCATTACAAATAATTACATGTGTGTTCTAAATAATGGAATGTTGAAATGTACACTTGTCATCACCGGCACTGTCAAACACGTTGGACACGCCCAAAATAGCTACAGTTCATGTGACCAGGAAGAGAGTCACATCAAGGACTCCAGAGGTGATAATGTCAGTGTCCCAGGAAAGTCTGGAAGTCATTGTCTTGAACAGGAAGACTTAAGGAAGCTGAGGGCAGTTTGTTCACTTGACCCCAGAGTTGGGTTACACACCCACAGCACTTACTGAGGGAGGAAGTTGGAAGAGGACCTGGGATCAGACCGCTGCAATGGTGTGAAGTAGATGAAATTTGTCTTCACCTCCTCTTTCATTGCCCTCCTCGTCTCCCCAGCAACCCTGATCTGTCATCCTTCGTAATCACAATGGCAGAGGCCCAACGGAGTCACTCATACTATGGTATAAATAACTCATTATGATTGTATAAATTAGGCTTCCAAAGCATTTGCCTTTTTAGTAGAAGCAGTGCTGTTATTCTGTGTAATAGCAGAATTTCTACCATCAAAATAGCAAGGGACATATTTGAGGGATGATGGTCAGTGCCAGCTTGAAGTTGAGTAGGCAGCTTGAAGTTGAGTAGGCAGCTATATACATTTTTTAATTTTTAGAAATTTAAGTCTCAGGCCTTGGATCTCCTGTGACTATGTGACTATTCATGTTGGAAAAATAAACATTTCCACCTCCTAGAGTGGTTGATAGCAAGAGGGTATCAGGCTTCAAAGGTTGATCTGTGATTCTCTAGAGACCTCTAGTGGTCAGAAGAGGAACTCACTTTTGTTATGAACAGAAAGAAGACGAGGGAATGCTGACCGGTGAAAAATGAAGGCCTACAATCTGGTGATAGCCATTAAAGAAATATTTGGAACTTTCAGTAATGGAAGGTTTGAGTCATTTACTTTTCCATCTACTTTTTCTCTCTCTCCTTTCTCTTCTGTATCCATGCTACAATCTCATTTGCCTTAATGCCTTGGAAGGCTCTTGTCCTTAGTGTCCTTATTATCCATTTTCATTGCTTTATCTGGGTCGTCCACACAAAGAAAACAGCTTGCCCTTCACAGGATCCATATTTCCCTCACGCAATCCATGGGCTCCTACATCTCCCTTCACCCTTGGCATCTCTTGATCCTGTTACTCATACCTACATGTGCTCCCAGATAAGTACAGGAATAGGTCATCGCTCTCCTTATCTTCACCCTTACTCTGCTAGGACAGTGTTTCTTTTTCTGCCATTGAGATGGACTGTCCCAAGGGATTACATTTTAAGAGGTGGATTACAGTTACTGCTGGTTTTGTGGTTCACTGTGAAGCTCAGGAAACAGAAACAGCCAAGTTTCCAAGATATATATTTCACAGGAGAAGAGTCAAAAAAAAAGATTTAAAATGCCAAACTTTACAGGAAATTCAAAGACAACCCTTCCCAACAAATAAAAGTCATCCCCACAGATTTGTGGTAGAGCCAATATAAGTGACTATGTTAACCTGAAGCCTTTATAGGTAGACTTTTCAGCTGCTCCCTTTTGTTTACCTATCCCAATTTTTCTTATACAACTACTAAAATTATATAGATAAATACATCATATATTAAGATATATACTCACCAATGTGTACAAGAAGGGCATTCCTCTAAAATTAGATTGCAGCTCTTCCTGGCTTTGAAGTAATCACACCCCAGCAATAGAAAGAGGTGGAGCATATCAACAGGAATGGGGTGTGGACTGCAAGTTCATCATCTATCAATCTTATCTGAGATCCGGCTTTGCCTTAAGGTTCAATTCCAAGACCATGAATAGATGTTTCTGGGTTTTTTTAATCCCCACTGTGGATGGAGCCTTTCTTCCTTTTTCCGAGAGGTCTGAATTTGAGACTCCATGTGGGTCAGGTCAATGATAGGAGCAACAGACCCCAAAGGACCTTCTCAATCTGGATCCACATTTAGACAGTGTCTTCTCAGTTACAGGAGCATAGGATTTCCTATAACCCTATCAATTAATTATTGGTCCAACAAACAGAAACTTAGTTATAAATGGCTAATGAATAGGCAGTTGTGTCCTAGTAGTTTATGGCCTCAGAGAGTTCTTTAAGCAAAGAGTTAAGGGGAGGAGAAAAAAGGAGCAGGAAACCAACCCTTCCTTTGGTTGGCTCCCTTAGCTCACTCACCTCAACTTGGAAAGAGCAGAGCCGACTGAACAACGCTTGACAATATTTCTGTGGCATTATCAAAATCCAGGGCCATGATCTTGATATAAAAGCAAGCTAGTTTCTCTGACACAAGTATTTGGTTATAACAGGGTGAGGCTCACTATAAAAACCACCCATTTGTTAATCACTAAAACATTGATTGAATGCCTAATATATGAAGGCTATCACAGTGAGTTTGCAAAAATTTTGGTTTTATACATTTTCCAAAACCATAAGAATGTATTTATGTGTAGAAAATAAAAATTTAATGGTATTTGAAGAGCTGATACCATAATCTCTCTTAGGAAAGAAATCTTTCTTTTGGCTACAGTGCTGTGGGAGAAAGTGAGTCCCTGAAGGTCTGAGGGTCATAAGAACAAAACAGTAAGGAGAGGGCTGTGCTGTTCTGCCAGTGCTCCACAGGAAGACATGAGAGGGCTTTGGTGTTGCTCCAGAGTGAAGGAGGAGAAAGAGAGAGAGAAGAGCCAAACAAGTCAGGCGGTGTGAGGATGGGAAGTGTGTACGGCCAGGAAGTCAGGGAAGAATCCACAGTGGTGAGCTGACTGACTTTTGAGAAACAAAGATGATAAAAAATAAGGATTGCTTCAAAAACAGGAACCAAAGAGTCAGTAAGACTCAGATCTCTGCAGCGAAGCCTCCCCTAACTCTCCACCATCCACCCAGTGCCCCTCTCAGTCTGGAGAGTGGTGCCACCTACAGGGTTGTTCCCAGAGACCATTGCTTCTGACTCATTGCTCCAACCCTTTCAGGCCCTGCCAACCCAGCCCATGCCAATTGCTCAAGTCTTTAGAAATGCATAAAAGAAATACGTAATTTGGTAAATTAGTAAATTCTTCTAATTCAGCAAATTGGTCACTCGACAATTGTCAAATTGGTTTTGGGGAAATTGGACAGCTTGTCTCAAAGCTGACAGAGTGTAATCATCTCCAGGCTCTGGCAAGTCAACCCGCCATTCCACTCAGGTCAGTGCTTTATGCTCACTCCCTCCATGAGCATAGGAGCCATAGGAGAACTTGGCTCCTTCTTTCCCTCAGTAAATGTCAAAGCGCCTGAAATGCAAGAGCCAGCCCTCATTCTCTGACAGAGGGTCAACAGTTTAGACTCAGGCCTGGAGAGATCATCTCTGACAGAAAGCTCATATCTACAGGTTTTCTTTAAACAAAAAGTTAAAAGAAAATGACTAACCAGGGCTACACATAAGAAGAAGTATTCAGTAATGAGAGAGGCTACTATCAACCCAAGAAGATTATGTCAGAAGTAGGGTAGAGTCCAGTGGTTGGAATTCATAACACTTTGAGATAGAAGTGTGTCCCGGGGTACAACTGCAAAGTGGAGTACACGTGGGTCAGTGGAGGGCCTGGCCTCCAGCTCCACCTCTGGTGCTGTGTCCACCAGCTGGGGAGAGAAGAATCAAGCCCATGTACAGCTCCTTTTCTCCCCTGGAATCCTCTCATTGCATCATTCAGCATTTCAGCCTTAGAAGCTAGGAAGAGGGCAGTGCTTAGACCCTCTGCCCTTCAGAGAGACCATCTCGTACTCTGTTGCTGAATGGGAGACCACACGGCTCCTCTGGGCGACTCTACCAGAACAGTCTGGGACTGAGCTCCAGCACAGATCCTGGGTGTGGCTGGTTCACAGGCTTGGACTGCCCAGAGTAGAGCTGGCCAGGAAAAACAGGGCAGAAGGAATGCTGGTGGCGGGGAGGAAGCAGAGAACAGCATCTTCTCTTCTTACCTCATTCAGGGCCCTTATGACTATCTCTCTCCTTCACCAAGAATATAGAGAAAGGTAACAGACACTGAAGAGAGGTTTTACTGCAACAAGCAGGAGAACTTCAGCTGGGACCATTACAATCACACAAAAATCCACAGAGCACATGACACCCCCTTTGGCAGCCCCCACACTGGACCCACCGACATTCTGCATCCTGAGAGCCAGAGACACGTCTGCAGAAATGTGCACCAATAGCAGCATTCAAGTCCAATGCTGGGAAAGAGGACGTAGGTAAGTGTGTATCTCAGACTGTTTCCATCCAGGTGGGAGGCAGACGGATGACCAATGTACCCAATATCACACCTGGGATCCCCCTGCTTGGGGCCATCTGAGCAGCGGAAACAGTTACCTTAAGGCTGGCCTCTGCAGACAGACTGAGAGCTTACAGAAGGACGGCCAGCAACTCTATTCTCAAGCTTAACAAGCAGCTGGGTGTGGTGGCTCATGCCTGTAATCCCAGCACTTTGGGAGGCCAAGTCAGAGGAATCACTAGAGCCCAGGAATTCAAGACCAGCCTGGGAAATATGGAAAAACCCAGTCTCTATAAAAATTTTAAAAATTACCCAGGGCTTGGTGGTGTACCCCTGTAGTCCCAGCTACTGGGGAGGCTGAGGTGGGAGGATCACCTGAGCCCAGGGGTTTGAGGCTGTGGTGAGCCATGATTGCACAACTGCACTCCAGCCTGGGTGACAGAATGAAACCGTGTCACAGAAGAAAAAAAAAAAAAGAAAGGCAATATTATCATGAAGAAACAAAGGCCGTCTTTGACCCTCTAAGGACATTTGGTGGGGAGGTAGATTTGTACAACTCAACATATACGAAACTTAAAGCAAAGGCCAGAAGACTAGTGCATGGCTAGTTCTCTCCAGCAACTCTTGGAGAGACACAGCCTATTATGAACAATTCTCCTTCTTGGCTCGGGAGCGGGCCGCAGCACACAGGCAGCAGGATCGGATGCTCAGCATGGAGCTGCCATAGACCCACCGCCTCCTCTGCAGCTGCATGTGTGCTTTTCAGAAACCACCAAATATAAAACCCCAGACTGCCAAGGTCAAATCTTCCGGGAAAGGCCCATTCAGCCTGTGGTTATTCATGTTTGAGGAGTTGCTCTGAATTTGAGAGGAGCTCTGACATTGCTGACACTGGGCGGGTTGGGGTCAGCCTGACAGGGACAGCAGAAAGAGACCCGTGGTCCTGTGGGATGCTAGCCCGAGCCTGCCAGAAACAGCCTGCTCGACTGTTTCCCAGACCTCAGCTCCTTCCACTGCCTGGGCTCAGATGAGAACAAGACAAGGGAACAGAAATGGTTCAGATTTCATCCTCCAGCCCCTGAGCTACAAAAGCTCTCAGTCACGCAGCTTCCTCCTGGAGTTCACAGCACGGCAGGCCCCAGATGGCATGAATCACCACTCTGTCGCCCTGGCTAGGCCCTGGTGTGGAGCGCCGTGAGAGTTCACACTGTCACCCTTGTTGTGAAGACAGCCCAGCACAGAGTGCTTCTGTCCCAATGGCACATTTAATTTCAAATTAAAGTTATAAAAGCTGAAAGTGACCTCTTCTCCTGGAAACAAAACTGTGAGCTTGAGAGGGAATTTGGCTCCCACAGGGGCCTTGTCTCTCTGCACTGGAAGAGACTTTTAAATGTCTTCCAACAAAAATCAGGACTTGTCTAGAGGGTTCCCTCGGTCGCCACGCCAGCCCTCAGCGTCTTTGCTGTTCATCAGCGGGTCCCCTGAGGCTCGTTCCACAACCACCCTTGGGAGTCGCACTCTAAAGTGTGTCACACTGTAAAGTGTGACTGGGGCACACTGAGTTCCAGGACCCGGTCACTCCTCACAGAGCCTGAAAGACCAAAACCATAGGAGGACACACAGACAGCTTGAAGGGGACCAGCTGTTCCTCCCAGGGCTGGGCGGGCAGCAGAAAGCGTGGAGGAGAAGGAGCATAGCGCCGAAGAGAGTTCAGCTGTAACCACCCTCTCCTCTCGGCCAGACAGGGGCCAGCAGATCCAGGGCGGAGGGGCCAGGTTCCTTCCACAGGAAAGTAAATTCCTATGAGGTCAACAACCAGAGAATCAACCCATGTTTGCTGATCAGCTCTGATGCCCTTCACTGACTTAAGCACCGTGAAGAAAATGGAAGCATGGTCTTCAAAGAAGCAGCATCTACCAGCAACACAGCACAGGGAGGCGGGAGGAGGGAGTGGGGAGGAATTGGACTCCACATCCAGTTGGCCTGGGTTTAAATCCGATTCCACCACTGATTAGCTGGAAATTAGGACAGATTGTTTCTATCATTATTCTCTCATTTGCAAAATAAAGATCACAATAGGGCCAACCTTGTAAGAATTCTGGGAATTAAATGAGTCTATGCACACAAGGTGCTAATGTATATAAATGTCAGCTATCCATTCGAAAACAACAACAAAATATTCACTATAAAGCCAAAATCAATAATATAACAGATGTGAATCTTAGCCCACATTAGCTCACAAATCTAGGTGGGTAAGAAGAACCACTTTTTCTTTTTTTTTGAGACAAAATTTCACTTTTTCACCCAGGCTGGAGTGCAGTGGCATGATCTTGGCTCACTGCACCCTCCAGACCCCCAGGTTCAAGCAATTCTCCTGCCTCAGCCTCTCGAGTAGCTGGGACTACAGGCGCCCCACACCACACCCAGTTGATTTTTGTACTTTTAGTAGCGATGGGGTTTCGCATGTTGGCCAGGCTGTTCTCGAACCCCTGACCTCAGGTGATCCACCCGCCTCAGCCTCCCAAAGTGCTGGGATTACAGGCGTGAGCCATGGCGCCCGGCCTTTCTATTTTCTTTAAATCAATTTGAGTCCAATTCCAGCACACAGAAAATGCTATCACAGTCCTGCTGGGGTTCCCTGCCTCCCGGGGCTGAGCCGTATAGGGCGCTGGGACATCAGGAAGGCGTTCTTCATCCATCTGATTTCTGCTGCAGTACCTAATGTCCCGGCCCACAGGATCCCGTCACGGCCAGCACCTCTGCCATCTCCTGGCCTCTCTTGGGGATCAGGAGCCTCTGGCCAGGCTGGAAACCTTGTGAAAGGGTCCAGCCCCCTCCAACACTCCCTGTCCCATCTCTGAGGTCTTTCTGCTGGCCCAGAGCCCTGCCCAGATTTACCAAGCTTTATTACCCTTGTCCCCTTTGAGGAGTCTCTCTTTTCTCTTCTTGTTTGTCCACAAAAGTACCATCCACAGCCCCACCCCTTCCTCTCCATCCCATTCAGGACGATCAACACAGTCACTGGACAAAAGGCAGGAAGATTCCACTTGAGCAGTTTCTATTATCGTCCCCGAGGTAAAGATTCCAAAGTCTTGCCAGCCGCCTGCTTAAATGGGGAAATGGAACATGCAACAAGCACAACACAAATCAATATCCCAAGATAACATTCCGCTGCTGTAGCACGCCAGGAAATAAATGTCAAATTGTGCCTGGCTGAGGCCAGGTCACCAGCAACCAGAACTTTTAAAACATAATTGTGTTCCTTATCATGTTGCCTATGCAAGCTTGGGGCAGGGTGGTGCAAATATATGGTCCCCTCAGCAGTGTGGAGGGTTGTGAGGTTTCCTGGAGGGAAACTGACTCCTCAGCAGGGCTCTGACACAGGAAGAAGAGTTAGCCTGGAGAAGGAAAGGAAGCTGGACATTTCATCCAGGAGCTGCAGCAAGGACAAAAGAAAGAAGGTAAGAGTCATGGAGGAATAGAAAGAGATGCAAAGAGTATTTCTGGAACCCAAAGTATCAGGTAAAGGAGTGTCCTGGTGGAGTAGCCAGGGACAGCCACTAGAAAGCAGGGTGACCTGCGCTAAGCAGCTTGACCATTAACACTTGGGTCTGGCTTTGAGACCGGGGAAGGAGGACCTCGGGTGGTGTGGCAGGAGTTTGCAAAGCCTCAGAGTGAAGAAACATATTTAAAGATAAGTAATTTTTAAAATTCTGTTTATAATAAGGTAAATGTAGGTTTATTAGTGAGCAGAATGTAAAATTTTAGTAAACTGTAAATATAAAAGAGGAAAATGTTTTCACTTATAAACAAGATGTCCCATGTCCCCTGGGGATTACATTTATCCTCCTCAGTCTCTAAGTGTATTTCTGTAGCAAATTTTGAGAAGCTCTTTACATCAATAGCTTTTTAAAATAAAATCAGGATTCCTAGTTTGAAAAGAAAATACATTTTTCGTAGCTACCCAGTAACACACACATACCTGAAACAAAAATTTTGCAAACATTACTTACTCTCATCTTATAAGAATCATCTGAGCTGGGCACGGTGGCTCATGCCTGTAATCCCAACCCTTTGGGAGGCTGATGTGGGACGATCACCTGAAGCCAGGAGTTGGAGACCAGCATGGGCAACTTTGGGAGACCCCAACTCTACAAAAAAATTAAAAAGTAAAAGAATTATCTGTTTTTTAGCCTATTCAATCCTAATTTATCCCACTTGATTTTTTCTTTAAAACTCTGGTCAGAGAGGACTAGCCTGACTTCATAACCCAGTGATGGGTCCCTACCCACAGAAGAAAAAGTGATGCCATCGTGGATTTGAAGCCATTGAAGGAATATCAATAAGGAAGGGCCAGTTGGATTGTGACTTTAGTAAGTTATTCTCTGGGTTGTGTGGAGTTTGACTTTGAGGCAGATAAATGGAAGGGAACTGATCACGCAGGGGGTTCTTTTGATTCTCAGGGTGATCTGCAACGAGGGCTCACACGACAGCAGAAATAACAGAGACAAAGAGAAGGTGATGGCCGCAAGGATCGAGGAGCTAGAATCAGGAGGACTTGATACTGGATTGGCTGTGGATCTGAAAGAGCGGGGAAAGTCCAGAATGGCTCTCGTTTCTGCCTCAGCACTGATGCACTGTCAACTGAAAAGAAAATGAGACGCACAGGTCTAAATGGGCCAGATGGGACTCCCTGGGTCACTTTGCATTTGAGGTGCCTGAGGGATGGCCATGTGGAGACAGCTGCCATTTGTACATGCAAGTCCGAATCTCTAGGGGAAAAATCAGAACCATATTAATACTTTGGAACCATCAGTATTTGAGTAGCAATTAAAATTAAGAAAGTGAGTGTGATTCACCACGGAGACTTACGTAGTGCCCAGCACATAGAAGATTGTTTCACCTATCTTTGTGTATGTTATCATATGTATATACTATTTTACATACAGAATTAATTAATGTAATATTTTACCCATCCCCCCACCTGCACCACACACACACATGCACACACACATACCCTGGAAACAAAGTTCACAAGATAACCCCAAACCTTACAATGGAACTCAGTGGGAAGACACAAGATTGTCATCTGGCCCATTACACCAATGTGCACCTCCTCTTTGGTATGTTTGTAGCTCCACGAGGCTGGCTGGATACACCTGCCAGTTTATTGCTATGCCCACACGTTCAATTCTGTGCTCAGCATAGTGCCTGGAACAAGTAGGCACTTAGGGAGAATTACAGAATGAATGAAGCAGTAGTCCCGCCTCCACATTTAACCATCACATCCATACATCAGTGTACTTTGGGGTCAGAATTTATGTGTGGCTGATAAAAGGGAGACCTTTTTATATTAGAAAAAATGCTCAAATTATGAATAAATAATGGAGATTGCTTGGAAATGTGTCTAATTTTTGGCAAGATATGACAGCAATTAGTTCTGTATCTAAAATCTCAATATGAAATGACAATAAAACAATCTTCTGAGAATACAATTACTATATTGCTAACAAATATAAGCGTTGTGCTTGACTGAGTTAGATGAATAATTCCCCTGTTGTGACTAAAATGAATTTTCTTATACAAACACATCACTTCGCAAAGGTGTCATGTTACATAATTTTTGAAACTATCAAAATAACTGATTCAAAAATATTTTAAGACTTAAAAATACCGATGTTAACTATGTAGTAAATAATAAGTTGATTATATCAATAAATCATTTTATTTTAAAAAATATTATTTCAATTTTTTATTTAAAATAAACATAAACAGCAGATGCTTGAGATAATTTTGTATATTGCTTGTTGCTAAGATAAAAAACCATGCAAAACCATCTTTCCAATTTCTTACAAATGGTTTTTAGTTTGATATTTCAGTCCTTCATGTACACATAGAAAGACCCTAATCATATCTTTATTGATAGAAACATAGTGACTATCAGTTCTCAATACTGTATTATGGTATCTTTAAGAATATTTTTGTGTGGGCCGGGCATGGTGGCTCACACCTGTAATCCCAGCACTTTGGGAGGCCAAGGTGGGTAGATTACGAGGTCAGGAGATTGAGACCATTCTGGCTAACACAGTGAAACTCTGTCTCTACTAAAAACACACACAAAAAAAAAATTAGGTGGGGTGGTGGGCGCCTGTAGTCCCAGATACTCGGGAGGCTGAGGCAGGAGAATAGCATGAACCCAGGAGGTGGAGCTTGCAGTGAGCCGAGATCGCGCCACTGCACTCCAGCCTAGGCAAGAGAGCAAGACTCCATCACCAAAAAAAAAAAAAGAATATTTTTGTGTAAACAGGGCCATATATGTCTGTGTGAACCTTAACCTGAACTCCCAAAGGGCAATCAGCATTTGAAACGTCTTAACCAAGAATTATCCCAGAGAAGCCTGCTGTAAGCAGCTTTAAAGATTGCTTTCCAAAACTGCACCAGAACATTGCTTAGCATAAAGGATGTTACATAAATTTTCATTGGTAAAATAAGAAGTGCTCCAGATATGTGATCAAATGAAAATTGTACGCAGGCACCTCAACCTTTGCACAAACAAAGTATAAAAATCTCCACCACTTTCAGCTTCAGTGTGAGACTCCAGGTCTCATCTCACCTTCTACCATTTCGTGATGGACTTTGTTACCTGTTCAAACTCGAAGCTTTTCCTCCCATTGCAAGAATATTGTTCTGTTTGCCTTGAAATGAACTTTCATGCAGGGTACTAGTCCAAGTGCCTGAAAGGATAAAGACTTCATCAAGTTTACTGGAGCAGACTGCATGATTGCTTACTAATAAACATCCAATTATATACTAGAATTCTGCCTGAGACTTACTTTCACTGGTACGTAACACCTGGTGACTAAGGTGTGAAGAAAGAGAGGTCCAGTTACCACTTCCTTCTAACTGTTGGAGGCTACCAGTAATTACCACATAAAACAAACCAATTTGGCTCACATGAGTTCTCAAAACTGTAGCTGAGAGACCAGCAAGGAGACCCAGAAATAATCTGACTGTGTCCCTCTTCCAAATAACTGGAAACCCGATCCTTTCTAAAGTTGGAAGAACCTCAGAAAAAGTATATAGAAGATGAAACGCAGAGAACAACTGAACTAGTCTAGCCTTCACATTACACAGGAAAGAACTTCAACAGAAAGAAGAAACTAGAATCTTGCAGGAAGCAAGTGATGGCGCCATGCACTGTCTCAACACAAGCCCAAGCCAAACAGCAGAGAAGGGTCAGCCCCCTTCTGTCTTGAGTGGTGGATCACCTTTGACTTCTCTGTGGTGATTGGAGAGTAGTAGAAAAACATCCACTCAAAAGCATTGTCCCGCGGGCTGCCATTTAGTTGTATATGTTCTGATGTGCATTCTGGGTTTGAATGGATGAAACCACTAGAAGAAATACAGAAAGATCAGGATGTTTGTTGAGAGTAGGTGTGCAGCTGAAATTTCACCATCAAGGGCTCAGCCTTTTGGAGTTAGCATGACTCTCTTGTGTATAAAGATACCACATTTATTCAGCAAATATTACTTGAGCACCAACTGTAGGCCAGGCACTATACCAGAAATGACATAGAAATGAAAAAGACATAATCCAGTGGTCACCAGTCCTGGAGAAGCAGCATGTTCTCAGGAACGACTTCACAGGATTTCATTTATCTCCTCTTTTCCTCAGTGACAGGAAGGACCTGGGACAGTTTCTGAGAAAAGATTACTAAGGGTAGGAGTACAAAAAATGTGCCAAAAAATAAGAAGAAGAAGGGGAGATACTGAAAGAGGTTCCCGCCAGAGGCAGCCTTCACTGCCTCACCACAGTGCCCTAGGCCCATCCCCAACCCTAATTGAGGCAACTGCAGTTATTAGTGAGGTGAGGGATGAAAGGCTGTTGGTAAGACGCAGCTCCAACAGGGAATGAGTAGCTCTTGTCTTGGAAAGAAGAGAAATGCCATACTTCTTCTCTGAGCATTGATGCTCTTTACTATTTTGTCCTAAGTCCTTTCAGGGAAAAGAGGCTTCTTCCGTTCCATATCCATAGACCACATGAGCTCAGAAACGCCTGGTGTTCATGCCCCACAACGTCTCCAGTGAAGCAGAGGTAGATGAAAGTCAAATGCATCCTGTCTCTCCTGCCAAGTTCGAAAACAGACCCAGATCGGGGCCAGATGCGTAAATCAGGCCGTATCGTATTCTCCCCCTCCAGAGCTCTGCTCCTCTGAGTCACTCAGAAATGGGGGCAGGTAAATGTTGAATGGCTGAGGAATTTTTCCCCGAGATAGAGGAAAGGGTTTTCAACTCAAGGAGAAAGCCTGAATTTTCTGGTGCTCAGGATTAGGCTTGCCTTTGGCAAAGGACTTAGAACTGCTTGGAAAAAGCCAAAAGACTTGTTAGACATCAAAAAACTCGGAACAATGCTTTAATGATTTAAGTGTAAGTGAATCTTTGACACATATGGATTAAATTTCCCTTACTGGGCACATGCTACAACACTGAAGAAAAATATTCCTGACAAGTCACATGCTCAGTTCACCAAATGAGTGCAAACAATGCAACAGATCACCCATGAGGTCCAATTGTATGCCGTCTCCCAGGCCCTTGTCCAGGCTCCTTTGTAGGGGACCTCAGAGTGGGCAGGAAGAACACAAAAGCACTGACCCCTCAGACTCCTTCCCCTGGTCCTCTCTGTCCTCCTACCTCCTCCCAGGATAGGGATCTAAGCCTCTGGCTACAATACCAAATGCATTGGACTGAATAAAGTGAGACCTCAAAATATATCAAATTTGAGATCTAAAATGGCTCAAGCAAATATAATAAACAACCAGATCACCTTTAAGTACTCCTAGTCTAGAAGCAACTCACAGGTGTACTTTCATTTGAAAGACTAAGTTCTCGGTTTATACACCTTTCTCTTTTTAAAAATGTTGTTTTCATTTTTTAGAAATGGAGTCTTGCTTTGTCACCCAGGCTGGAGTGCAGTGGCGTGATCATAGCTCACTGCAGCCTGGAATTCCTGGCCTCAAGGAATCCTCCCGCCTCAGCCTTCTGAGTAGCAGGGACTACAGGCACGCACCACCGCACCTGGCTAATTTTTAAATAGTTATAAGCCATTGTAAACATGTTGATGGTCAGTGAAGATAAGAAGTCATCAAAACTGGCCTCTGCATGTTTCCTTCATGACAGATACTGCTTGCTGTGACTGGCATAAGTGCTCCACTCCCCAGAGCACACAAGGAGCAGTGGTGACCCCAGACAGTCAGGCATGCCACAGGAAGCTGGACAGATTTCCCTGGAAAAACAACTGTGCCTTGTCTTTGCCACAGTTGGATTTGCTGCTACTCAAGAAAGCCCCGATGACAACACCTTGGAAATCTGCAGGACACCACCCAGCTCTGCATCTGCTGGGAAATGTTTGGCAACATAATCTCCTAACCTGGAATTATCTTCAAGGATTTCACATCCAGAGGCTTCAAAACTTTCCTCAGCCCCTGGGAAAGTGCTGAGAACAGCAAAGGAAGGAATGGAGCCTGCAAGGTCATATGGAGGCATGTGAACCAGACAGGCTTGCAAGGCTTGGCTCTACAAAGGTTTGCCTGGGCTTATAAGAAACCATATGGCAGACACAGACATATACAGATTTTCTTGGAGATAGAAGGACTCACAAAAATCATCTTTTTCATGACACAATCAAGAATGGGAAAAGCTCATGAGAACTGAGCAAACTTGCAGAATATACATGAGGATTTTTTTTTTTCAGACGGGGTCTCACTCTGTCACTCAGGCTAGAATGCAGTGGCACGATCATGGCTTACTGCAGCCTCAACCTCCCAGGCTCAAGCATCCTCTCACCTCAGCCTCCCAAGTAGCTGGAACTCCAGGCATGCACCATCAGATCTGACTAATTTTTTAAAAAATTTTTTTGTAGAAATAGGGTCTCACTATGATGTCCAGGCTGGTCTCAAAGTCCCATGCTCAAGGAATCCTCCCACCTCAACCTCCCAAAGTGCTGGCATTACAGGCATAAGGCACCATACCTGGCTGATTATCTTAAAGACAATTATTTTTAGCATATTGGCAAGATTATATAAGCCTTTGTCCACTTTGAAAAATGAAATAATAAGCATCTAATAGGGTAAAAAATACGTTAAAAATAAAATAGGAGGCTATGAACCATATAGACTTGTTAATCCTCCTTTTGATCCACTGGGTCCTAGCATGATCTCATTGGTGAGAGAAACTCAACATTTGGAAAACTGATTTGTCTCGTCCCTGCCTAGGACAGAAGCCAAGACTATCTTATTGAAAAAAGGCCAGGCACGGTGGCTCACACCCGTAATCCCAGCACTTTGGGAAGCCAACGCGGGTGGATCATTTAAGCCTAGGAGTTCAAGACCAGCCTAGCCAATGT